ATAGAGAATGTTCAGAGACGTGCAACAAGGATAATTCCAGGCTTGAAGGGCAAGTCCTATGAAGAAAGATTGAAGATTATGAAGCTTCCAAGCCTCAGTTATTGACGTCTGCGTGGGGACCTCATTGAAGTATAGAAGTATACTCATGGTCTATACAAGGTCCCTGAAGCGTAGTGGCAAAGCAGAGAGTTTTTTAGACTCTCCCTCAAGTTCATTTTGAGTCCTATATGTAGACCAGTAAAGTATCCTGGATACCAGCATAGCTAATCACCATTGTGCAGAGAGTGGATGAATATTGCAAGATCTTTGGCGACGCTTCAGTAGCCCAATTTTTGCCTTCAGAAGATCTTGCCGACACATTTAGATTGAAATTCTTGCATTTAATATATTTCTCAGTCTTCGGCCAACTATTTAGAAAAAAAGTAAGGTTCCCGGTACATTGGATGGATTACGATGCAGCGAAGCTTGTCCGGAAATCAGTTGCGATGGGTTCCCACAAAAAATGTAAACGTTTTTTCGATTGCGTAGTTTCGGTCACATTAGAGCGGTCAGACTGCTTTATTCCATGTTCAGTTGAGACTTGCTGTACAATTGGACTGTTTTTAGAGTAAAATTAGTTATTTGGGGTAACACGTGCATGCAACCTTGTAAATAAGTTCGTGGCTTGTAAATAGTTCGTCATTACTCAGCGTAAATGGCTTTTCATTAAAAATTACCTGGCATTAAATTTTATTTTGGGCTTAAAAATCCATATATTGGTGACGCTGCATCCACCCTCTGCATAGTGGGCTAATCATACTTGAGAAATTGGTTTAAATCTTGAGTAAATGAGAAAATTAAAAATGAACTGATTCTAAAAAAGCTCTGGGTTGCCACTATGCCCTGAAGGGTTACTAGAATTTGAAACAAGAACCAACACCAGGGGCCACGGCTATAAGCTAAAAAACTGCGCTGCAACTTTACGCGACAAAATTTCTTCTCGCTCCGAATCACTGACATGTGGAACAGCCTCCCCGATGACATCGTTGTATTTGTTGGCGCTCCAAGTATGAACGCATTCAAGATTACAGACTAGATAAAGCTATGGAAAAATATATGTTCAGATTTGAAATGCCTCGCTCCTTATCGAACCCGGTGGAAGTCTAGTTACCTAGTAGCTACTTCAAAGTTCAAACTATCATCAGTCATGAAAAGATCCGGTCAAATGACACGAGTTTAGATCTATGAACAAGGCACGAAAAGGAAAAGAATCGGCGACAGGCCAAAATTCAGGCCTACACTTCACACTTCAGCGCCAACATCACTATGTTATCTTATGTTATTTTTTTTTAATTGCTTTTAAGACTTCGGGTATGAACAGATCACACCTCCCAGCCTGAGCACAACTGGGTTTCCTTGTACTATATTGCCACTCTGATTTCAAAGTAGATCTCTAAGGCCTCTCACCAGCCGGTGGATGTTGTATGGAAGGAAGTACAAAAAGGATTAGACACTGGAAATTTTTCAAAGTTTGTTAACCATGTTGCATCCCAACAGGTACTGTCCAAGGTGACGAATTACTGCAGTTCTTCTTTTTTGAGGGATATCTCCTCCACCAAGAGCTGAGATGAGGTTCCAGGGAATCAAAAGATTCTCCAGAGCTGAGCGAAACTCCCTCCTCTGATCAGTGAAGAGCGAGCAGTGCAAGATCTGTCTCTTATACACATCTAGATGTGTATAAGAGACAGGTCCAGCTCCATCATCAGTTCGACTAAACTAAAAATGAATAAAATCACTTTAAAAGTCAAAATTCAAAGACAGACATAAAACCTAAACAAGACCTAACATTATATCGAAATAAACAGGACTAGTTATGAACAACTTAGTCCTAGGGGGACGACAAGAATATAAAATCCTAGCGATTTACTATTTCCAGATTATATGAGCTAAACGCATTATTGAGACATGGTTTTTGCTTGAAGATATGTAGAGACTCCAAAATTCTCAAATCCGAGCAGCCAGAAGTGGAACCGAGTATCCTGAAATCACTCTCAGATACAGCCACGTCGCACTGTTCAGCATGGAGGCGCACGGAAGAATGAGGAGGCTTGGCGAGAGGCAAGTTAGAACGATAGCTCCTGCCACGGTGTTCAGAAACCCGGATGTAGAAGTTACGCGACGTCATTCCAACGTACGTAGATGCACAGCGTGCACAACAACGTTTTCTTTGCTTTTAAATTCCTTGTGAACTTGCGATTTAAGCAGACTAATGATATAAGCACTTGACAGAAGTGTCAACATTTGAACATCGAAGTTCTAACATCATGAATTATGAGGACTGACCAGAGCTAGAATCTTGGACTTGGCTGAGGCTTGGCCAATCTTACCGATGTCATTTTCATTTTTTACGTCATTGATATAAATCTGGAAGCAACGTAAGTAAGTAAGGAATTTCCAAGTTCAAATATTGATTTATTTACTTATATCAACTTCGAAACTGTACATATTTTAAAATTGAGTTGTTATGAGACCATAACTGAGAAAATGTTGCTCAATGGGTTAGTCCAGTCGTAAATGAGACTTTCGTTATTCCCTTCCTCCCCCCCCACCCCCGCTGAGCCGGACCGGGCGATGCTCTTGCAAACGCATAAGTACTCACAATAATTCCCTGCCACCATGCCTCCATAGGAGTTGCTTCAATGATGCTTCCACAGTCAGTTTCAGATTCTTCCACTAAACCATCAGAAGCAACAACCTCATCATCCAGACAATCACTTATCATTACATATTCCTTACCACCATCACCATCTTCTGTGCTTCCACTAATTTTAGGAGGACCAAACCCTGCGCCAGCAAGGCAGCTGGGATCACTCATGTTGGAAGAGTTCAACTTGCCCAATAAACGAAAACAAACAGCAACAAATTAACAAGAGGGAATAAATAAAAGGGAAGAAGAAAAGAGGAAGAAAAAAATAGTAAAAAAAAATAAATAAAAAAAGGAGAAAGAAAAAAAATTGAACAAATAGAAAAAAATAATAAAATAAATAAAAATTCAAAAAATTCAAAGCAGACTGGCAAACCTCAGAGGCTCAGAGGCCAAAGGCCCAAAGGGAGAGAGCGGAGAGCCACTAGCCAGTTGCGTCTGAATGTATTAATTGTAGGTTTGAGCAAGGGATTACAAATAAATCTGAATATCTATAGCTTCAAAATTCGCCGGTTATTTCAAGGAACGAAAATTACACACGTGCTTTCGCCACGAACGCAACTGACTTTCTCCTATCTTATGTTATGTTAACCCGTCAAAGTCAAATTAAAACGGATATGACAGCGGAACCGTCGCTTTGGCCTACAACGATTGTCCGCGTTTCTGTTTTTTGTTTGTTGTCAGCTGCAAAAAAAAAAAATTAAGATGGTGATGATGATGATGACGACATGTCATGATGATGATAGTCATGATGATGATGATGATGACTATTTAATAAAGACTTCATCTTCTTACTTAAGTTGCACGCCTCTCTGCTGGCGCTCGCTCTCCACGTTGTCAGCACAGTAGGCTCTCATGATGTGTAGGATTCAGTACCAGGATGAACAATATCAATTTTATAGACGTGCATTACTTTTAAGATTGTCATTGTATTACCCTCTCAATCCTTTCTTACGGAACTCCGTTCTCGCCGGGGAAGTTCTGTAGTGACTCGTATTCACAACTCGCACTATCATTTCTTGTCAATGTCGTAATTAAATTTTTAAACCTTCAAACTCGTGATTATCAACCTCTGTAACTATATGTAACTTAATTACCTTAATCACGATTACTTATTACGGTTTTCATCAATTTCATTATTAAGCCACTATAAAAATACCAGTCATTTAATCATCAGTTCTTGAGCACGAATAGTACTCGTGTAATTTCTGAATGATGAAAATTTTAGTAAATGTTGGAATACTTCAATGTTTAAATCGCACCATCAAATATTGCGAATTTTGTTTAGAATGCCCATTGGGGCAACATTAGCCAATCAGCGTCAGCGTCATTTTTCTGGGTATCTTCGGTATGTTAACATCAGCTGGGGTGTTGGTCAGCGTCATCGATCTTCAATCCCAAAAAGAATAAAAATATTTGGAGCGATACTAATGATGATACTGTTCATGAATTCATGAGTACGCATTCAAATAAAGTTGACATATCAATGTTACAACTTTTAAATTAGTTAGCATTGCTAGGTCACAATCTCTATTAATGAATGATGCCCGTCAGTCAGTCACGCATCAATAATGCTGAAAATTGGCGTAAAACCGTGCATCAATAATCGCGATCTGATCCAAGCAATTTCATAGTTACAATGAAAACATGAATGAAAACATTTCATGAAGAGATGAATTTTAAGCGATTTGCACCGTTAGTTAAAGATTTTTTTGCTTTTTTTATTATTTATTTTATATTTTATTTTTTGACGTGCTATCGATCGAATATTTCCAAATGAAGATCATGGCAATCACGGCAAAAAAATGGTTAAATGCAACAGAAAAATGGAAACACGTGCCATAAATGACGACGAATTTTGCATACAGGAAGGAAGAACAAGAGCGTCTCACGAGAGACTATGTAAACCATGTCAAGGACTCCTTATAGGACAGTAGGACAACCTTGTGCGCATTTGTACAGCAGCGACAGGGGCGGCAGACTGAACATCGCCCAGCACTATTGATATCTTCTGGCGCCATTGCACTGACAAGCATACATATAAAAAATTGCACGCGGTGGTGAGATCAAACGAAGAGCTACAATACATTTTAATAATAAATTCTCCAATGTAAACCTTTCGCCTACCTCCGTCTCTTGGACTATCATAACAGTAGTTGAGATTGTGGCGCCAGGTAAGCAATGACCTCCTCTCCTGCCACCCCCTGGTACTATACGTACAGCGGCGGTGCCCTACTAGAGAAGCCTCCTCAAGGCAATGCCTTCACTTTCACGACAAGCTTCTCGAACAGACAGAACACACGCTCTGAGCAGTGGTCTTCACACACTTAGAGTGGCGGGTGGCTCTTCCCTATAGCAACTGAACATTTGATCCGTGCAGGTGCGATACGTTACATCGGTGCAGTGTGTGTACAAAATATTTAAATCGGAGCAGTGCGTGTACAAAATATTTCAATTCGAGCAGTGCATGTAAAACATTTGATTGTTGCAGTGCATGTAAAACATTTGATTGTTGCAGTGCATGTAAAACATTTGATTGTAGCAGTGCGTGTAAAACATTTGATTGTTGCAGTGCATGTAAAACATTTGATTGTAGCAGTGCGTGTGCAAAACATTTGATTGTTGCAGTGCATGTAAAATATTTGATTGTAGCAGTGCGTGTACAAAACATTTGATTGTAGCAGTGCGTGTAAAACATTTGATTGTTGCAGTGCGTGTACAAAACATTTGATTGTTGCAGTGCATGTAAAATATTTGATTGTAGCAGTGCGTGTACAAAACATTTGATTGTAGCAGTGCGTGTAAAACATTTGATTGTTGCAGTGCGTGTACAAAACATTTGATTGTTGCAGTGCATGTAAAATATTTGATTGTAGCAGTGCGTGTACAAAACATTTGATTGTAGCAGTGCGTGTAAAACATTTGATTGTTGCAGTGCGTGTACAAAACATTTGATTGTTGCAGTGCATGTAAAATATTTGATTGTAGCAGTGCGTGTACAAAACATTTGATTGTAGCAGTGCGTGTAAAACATTTGATTGTTGCAGTGCGTGCATTCAAATTTGCACCGGATCAGTTGGTGTAAAAACATTCCATTAAATCAGTATGTTTCGTTGACTGCGTCCAAAGGCAGGCTTAATCCCAGTAAAGAGTGCAAGAGGAATATAAGAGCATAAAGAGTCTTAATTACTGTGCAATAAGTCAGAAAATAAACTCAAGTGTATTAAGTTAAACCGATAAACGAGTGACGGGCAAAGAAAAAACTTCGTGCATCAAGAGATAAATGAGAGACGGGCAAAGAATAGAACTTGTGTCAAGAGATCAACCGAGAGACGAATAGAAAGGATTTCCGCAACAAGAACACAGTAGCTGTATTAAAAGTCTGTGTGAGCGTCAAGAGAACAGAACAAACAGAAGTGCGGTATTTGTAGTCGGTCTACATGAATGTACAGCAATTTTCATTCCAGTTTCAAGCAGTACTGACCCTTCCTTCAATAGATAAAAACGTTTCCAATAGCGAGTTTTAAATTAGACGTGACATATAAAATAAAATATTGTTGAAAGATTATAAAAATTGTATAAATTATTGGAACCCTTCAAGTTATTTCAACTCTAAATTAGCGACCGGAGTAAAATATTAGTTTATTTACAAATTTTCGCAGTGATCGTTGCATTGAGTACTAAGTATCTACCATAAAGTATCTATATTAGAACAGAAGTGTTCATTATCATGAAGTATATCGGAAATGGAGCGTGTAATCATTTAAAATAAGCATAAATTATCATACAGGAAGTGAACTCATATTAGAAATATTACGAAATTCAATAAGAAGCATAAATTTTTTAATGTGCCTTTGAACAATAATAATAATTTAATAATAATGGGTCGATACACAAACCGACAAATTGCAACACTACTTATCATCGGGCTGGTAGATTTCTGCAGCGCGATCTGCATATCTCTGCAGGCCCCATTCTACCCTGCGGAGGCCGAGGCAAAAGGCGCTACAGCAACACAATACGGCTTCGTTTTCGGCGTTTTTGAATTGGTGGTGTTCCTTGTAAGTCCACTCTACGGCGAGTTCATATCGAAGATTGGAGCCAAATTTTTGTTCAATGCTGGTATATTTATTACTGGATCTACATGCATTCTATTCGGCAACCTAAGTCATGTTCAGGATACTAAAGCCTTCTTGACTCTTTCGTTCATAGTCCGGATTGTAGAAGCGCTTGGATACGCAGGATTTCTAACCGCAGCTTTCAGTATTATAGCTAAGGAATTTTCGGATAATGTAAGCGTGACTTTTGCAGCGCTTGAGACTTGCTTCGGCGTGGGCCTAATCGTAGGGCCTACTATTGGCGGAGCTCTCTACGAACTGGGAGGTTACACGCTACCCTTCATGTGCATGGGTAGCCTTCTTCTTACAGCTGCAGCGCTAACATTCTTCTTGCTTCCTTCGTCAGATGGCCCTTCTGAAGCAGACAATTTGCACGGCGGATCGCAAATGATGGAATTGCTAAAAATTCCTCCTATAGCTCTCGCAGCCTTCTCGATCATTGCCTCCTCCATCAGCATCGGGTTCATCCAAGCCACTTTAGAACCACATTTGCGGCCGCTGCAGCTAACACCTTTTCAAACAGGACTCGTGTTTGTGCTGAACGGCACTACGTATGCTTTGTCAGCCCCGATTTGGGGGAAACTTTGCGACAAAGGAGTGCCACCGATGATCATTACACTTGTTGGTGCCTTGACAGTTATCGTAGCTTTTCTAATGCTCGGCCCCGCGCCTTTTTTGCCAGTAAAAGAATCTTTGGGCCTTATCATTGCTGCTCTCATAATCCACGGATTTGGGGTCGGAGCCCAGCTCGTTTCAACATTTAGTGGAGCACATAGAGACGCAATAGCCTATGGGATGCCAAACAACCTCTCCACGTACGGACTTGTGTCTGGCATGTGGACTTCGGCCTTCGCACTGGGAGCCTTTATCGGTCCCTCTAGCGCAGGAGCGTTGTTTGACGCCTTCGGCTTCAGCTACGCAAGTCAGTACATCGTTGTACTGCACGCCATGGTAGCTATTGTAATTTTAGTGTGTGGCTACTGCTATCCGAAGCTTTCTGATAAATCGATGTACAGGAATCTGGAAGAGGAAGCCTACACAGAAGAGGCACAACTCAACGGACGTTCGAGGGACTCAACGTACGGGAGCTTCAATTCGGAGCCTTCGTCCTCCAGATCCGCAAGTAGCGGTGACTCCAGAGAATCTTTACACACAGAAAATATTTTCAAATGATAGCAACTTATCCTAGGCGTAACTATAGGCCTTGAGTGTTCATTCTGCTAATCTTTAGTATAATGATGACAATTAAATGATTGTTGTGCGGCGAAGTCTTGCACTTGTAATCTAACAGGGCAACAAACTGTCATTCTTATAGGAAATATTGCAAATCAATACCTGAAGCATCGTGATGACACTAGATATGCAAAATTAAGTTAAAAATTTTCAATCACAACGAGAAAATATCGTTTTTTTTTATTTTTTTTATTGCATAATCAGAACAAAAACCGATACCGTACGATCAAGCTTGCTTAAATATTTTATATTTATGATAGTTTGACACGGTTAAGTATTCTCCTCTCGATACATGTTTCATACTGAAACAAGATGAGTTTAATCTACTCGTATCTACCCATCCACGTGTGATCCACTCGTTTGTAGCAGTAATTAATTTGCTTGGTATGCGTGAGGCACAGGTTTATCGTGCTTAGCGTCAAGGTATGTCTGTAAAGAAATGCAATTGATAATGTGATATGTCAAAATTAGTACGTGCTCAAGTGATATTTTACAAAATAATGAACAATAGCAATAGTGATTATGTTTCATTTCCCAACCTTTCTCGAACTCAACTGTTTGAAAAGTTTGAAAGATTGTTTGATTGGCCCCTTGAATATACTGTGTCAGAATTTGAATACGATAAACTTGAAGATGCGAATAGACACATGAACTTAACGAGTGTACCAAAAATTAATTATCGTGCACGATCCATCAATTCCGTTTATTACAATTAATTTCAAAGGATGGATGAAAATAAATCAGTTCATTAGGCAGAAACTTGTAAAATATTCGAGAAGATTAATGCTAAAAAGTCACTCTAAGGTAGAAGGGTCATGAAATTAGAAAGCGTTGGATCAACACGACCAGTTCATGCCAGATCAGGTGAACAGCGATCAGGATTGTATGCAAATGTGACCTATGCCACAGAGATTAGATAATTTAAACGTGCATCGAGTAAGTCAGGAAGATCAGCTCAAATGAAAGTTATAATGCTACAGACAAACCAAAGTTAGCAAAGTCATATCGAAAAGCATAACATTTTATGGGCTGAATGTTCACCACCCCATAACTCGATTAGCCTGATTAGCCTAAGGGTAAGTCAACAACAACGAATGCCGGCATTCTCGGGCCCAGCCATACTCCATTTATGGCGGCGCTATAAAAGTTGTTTGAGCTTCATTAAAGGCCTCGTTCTACAGACATCGCCACAGAAGCTTATATAGTTGTGCGTGTTAAGTTGCGCTCAAGGAAGAGTTAGATTTCGGCACTCATGTCAGGGTCGAGCATTCATTTACAAACCAAAGATTAAACACGAAAAAATCGAATTAGATTAGTTCCTTGTTTCCATAACCTCCCCACCGCAACGATGTGTGTTTTTACGCCTAGGCTGAGGAAGAGTTTAACACGAATGTCAGGGTCAGGATTTTCTTACCCAAATCAAACAACCAACAGGAAGAATTGAAATGAGAAAGTCTGGGGCATGTGTATTGACATGACAAGTCATTCTCGGTGCGTCGGTGTGGGTACTAGCAAGGCTGGATGCAGCATGTGGGTGCATGAGGGGATACGCGGTATCTTAGCATTAGACGGCAGAACAACGAACAAAATAAAACCGAGATTCTTGATATTTTTGGAATATTTAGCGATGAAAACCATTCAACAACTTTCACGCACGTCTGACCTAATGATTTAAGACTAAAAAACAACATTTAGCAAATTGAAATAATTTTTTCAGATGCATCCAAACCCTCTAAACAAGGTTTGGATTTCAAAATAAAATTAGATTTAATTCACTTTCAAAATTGAAAACAAGAACCACAGGCATTCAGGAACAAACTAAACTGTCAGATGTTCTAACCTTTTTTCTATATTGCTTGAAAATTAATAATTATAATTTTTACTCTTGTTTACACTATTATACCAGCAAAATAAATATGAAGTTTATCTCAAATACAAATTTTAAAAGTGTGCCCGGCGGTGGTGTGAAATAATATAATTTATAATATAATATTAAAATTATTATGAAATACCAAATGATATGAATAAATTGTTATTTCTTACTACTTCAGCGATTTATTGTGGGGAAACTACAAGTTGTGCACCACACAGCTCTACACAGCCTATACAAATTCATCCACCAAGCCGAAAATAATCTACTTAATTCTGGGACATTGAAAGTCACACAAATGTTGTTTTCCTCGATTAACAATCAGTTTCTTAACCAAAATTGCATTTTCCAGCACGATGGAGCTATTGTCGTCATGGAGCCGAGGCAATCAAAAAGCTTATCAAAGATTTTGGCATTGAAGAATCGACACCATGGCCTGGAAATTTTTCTGATTCGAACCCTATCAAAAATTTATTTGCCATTATCATTCAAAGAATAAACGCAAGTAATAACGGGTAAACACAAGTTCGACATAAGACTCAAAGGACTTGATTTCGCATGAATGGAACTCTATTTATAAAACAACATTTAGAATTTGATTTCTAGCCTATGAGGAAAGAAGAGGTTTTTCATATTAGGGGTCAGCACTGCAAATAAATTTGCCATATTTCAATCTTGTTGTGTAAGATTTCATTAATGTTTTCTTTTGTGCTCAAGATAAAAACTAAATTTTTTACGTTTCCTGATTTGATTTTAGCCCTGATAATCCAAAAAATTTGGCCATGACTGTACGAAGTGTACATCATTAACGCTCCGAGAATGAACGTGTTCAGCAGGAACAGCCTAGATGAAGCTATCAAGAAGTATATGATCAGATTTGAAGTGCCTTGTACCTTACGGGCCTGGTAGAGGCCGCGTAGCTATTTCAAACCAACGTCAGTTTTGAGAAGGCCTTGTCAAAAGGCCTGTTTTTAGATCTCATGTGAACAAGTCACAAAAATAATAAATAATGCCCACGAACAGGCTGCATACAATGCTGACTTGGCTATGACGAGTTAGTTAGTTTAGCCACATGTTTACTAGCGCTTCAGCTATTTATACCTATCTTGCACCGAAAGTCAAGAGAAACATCACCAACGAGATGGAAGGTCTCAATTATTGACAATTTCTTAAATCAAAAATCATTAATAACCCACACGGGGCGGAAGGTCTGAACTATCCATCCCGCTGAAGCTGGCTCGAAAGAAGCAGCGTTAGCATCTCAAAGAGACGAAGTGACAAGGAGGGACAGGTGACAAGGAGGGACAGGTGACAAGGAGGGACATGTGACAAGGAGGGACAGGTGACAAGGAG